AATCTTTTTTTTTAACTACGTTTACAGCTGCTGAAAGACAGGCCAGCCCTTGGGACTGCAGTGTGGTAGATTTCAGCCCCCCCACCCTGAAAAAGCTGTATTCAGCTCAACTTCTAGCTAGTTATGAGACTGTAACACTTCTGTTACTGGAGCACAGGTGAAAAATGCTTCCCACTGGTACTAGCTTTCTCAGGAGGAAGATTGCTGTCAGCAATATCATTACCTAGGAAGTAGACATTTAATGCTGAACAGAAGCAACTAACTCTGTTAAGCTGGAGGTCCCAAATATGACCAAAGACTTCCGTGAAGCCACATCAGCATATCTGGCTTTGGTGTTTCTGGCCACTGCTGTCATTCTGATCTGCACTGAAGTCATCTATGTCTGATTAACATCTGCAGCTGGCACACCAGACTCAAAGGGGCAAGGGGCTTGACTTTGGACAAAAATAGCAGCTGCGGTAGTTGCCTGTGTCTGGATTCCTGCTGGGGCCAGACTTCGTCTTACAATTCCTTTCATCCTCTTGAGTGGAGATTAAAATTTTTTGTTAACATCATTCTGCAGAACGCATTCCTGCACTGGAATAGGCAGGCAAGGAGAGGTGGGTAGCTTTAAACAAAAGATTTTTGACATGGACTTCCTGAAACTGCTGGAACCTGGAAACTTGCAATGAGGTGTGCCCTTCCTTTGCTTGTGGGCTAAGCATCCAGTTACTGATTCCATTTTGTACAATGCTATCTACAAAGCTGCTTTCTAAGTCATGGCAGAAATACATGTTTTTGAGGCACTCTTATTTTCTTCTTTCTCTTTGCCCGCCCCCCCACCTGCCCATTTCCCCAGAGACCTTGCTGAGACAGAGCTACTCCATAGCTGATGCATCTTGGGCACTACATGTCTGAACAGCAAAGGGAAGGTGGGATGAGAGGACTTGCTGGCCTGAATTCATATAGCTGAGTTGAAGGACTCCTGATTTTTGACAGATTAGCTGACTTCCTGAATGATATGATTTCCCTGTATTGCAGTGTTGGGCATGGTGGGTAGGGACACAGAGTGAAATGTCACGACAGCATGGCCCCTCTGTATTCCCTCAGCCCCAGCTGCATTTGTACATGATTTGCACAACACTCGTGCTGTGTCTTGCAGTTTCTGCTTGACTGAGTAAAACCGCATATCTATGAGGTAGAGAAGGGAATGACGTTACAGTCAGATGGGCAGCTCTGGACATGAGAGGTTCCTGGCTTCCTCGGGGCTGTCAGCATACCTAGCTTTGGTAGAACTGACTGGGTCAGGAATGCTCTGCTTAGAGTTAAGTTGCTTCTCTGAAAACTAATCACTCATAGCATGTTCCAGACCTCCTGTCCCGCAACTACAATAAAACAGCATCTTTAGATTCCTCCTGAAGTTTGCATACATTGGTCACAGCCATCCTTGGAAACCAGCTGGGAGTGAGGATGCTCTGTGTGCTTAATGAGCTGGACTGGGCCTCAGGTGCTTTGTGTGACCTTGGTCAAGGCACCTATCTCTCTCTTCAGCTTCCTGCTGCTATCACAGGATGAATATTCCCTTCCTTCTTCCTGACTGTGAGCAGTCTGGGGACAGACATTATGCACATCACCTGCCAGACAGAATATGGGCTAGAAATTAATTGACCTGAGCTGATGAGGACTTAAAATTCCTTGACTTGCTTAGAGTTTCTTGTTAAAATCAATTCTCACTTGCTAATGTTGGTGGCTTCTGGGGTGTTTAGTATCAAAATGATTTTAGGGATCTGGTTCCTCTGCAGTGCTTTCTGCCGGTGGCTCTGATGAGAACTATAAATACCTAATGTCTTTGAAAGCCAAAGCAGGAATCTTTTATTCTCTTTATTTTCCCTCCTTATCTTGTGATCTGATTAACCTGACATCCTCGTCTCTCTTCTTTGTTCTGTCTCTGGGACCCCTCCATACAGATAGCTTTTTCCTCTGCATGGCATGTATTTTTGGAGCACAGTTATCCTTTTAGTGGAGGATAATTGCTTCGGGGAGAATGCCTGGGCCACAGATGCTTTGTTTTACTGGGGATAAATGCAATCATCGATAGCATTTAGAGGTTTGGGTTTTTTAAAAAAGAAGATTTTTTTCTTTACAGGAAGGCTGATTGAAATTGCTGCCTGAGTCCTGAGGAGCTATTGTGTGGAAGGGCCAGGGTTCACCTGTGAGCCAATCAATCTGCATACATAATTGGTGTTGACAAACTGAATGTGGAAGGACTCTCTAGGTTACCATGGGAACAAAAAAGGAGGTGAATTCTGGTTCAGTGGGTCTGAGCAAAAGGATGTCTCGGCATGTTTTGTTCTTGGGCTCTGCAAGAGGGGAGGGGAGAAGAGAACAGCTCTTCAACCCACTTCTATCCGATGAATTCTTGGCCTGCTTGAAACAGTCCGTGGTCTTGTGAGAGTCTTGTTATCCTGGCATTTTATGCCTGTGAGCCCCATGTTACTATGGGGAGTGTGGGCTCTCTCTAGTCTTACTGAGAGGATGTGGTACACTTGCAAAAGTTCTCCCTCCTGTTCTAGCAGCTTGGAGTGGTGGGTGGGAGAACAGCCAGGCTATCAGGAAGCAAACCAAGCAGAGAGAACAACCAAAGTGTTTAGGTGTCCGTGTGTCCTAAGTGACTAGCAATACCTGCACACAGAAAGGCAATGGGAATTAGACCTTAGCCCTACTTAAAGGTGAACTACTCCTGTAATGCAATGTGCAGGCTGATGCTACGTGTACCATGGAAACTATCCTTGCAGGTAATGTTGTCCTTCAGCATGTCTGGGACTCTGGAAAGGACCTTGGATTTGTGCGGTGTTCCACAGGCATTTGGTTTGATATCAGCAAATATTATAGCCTGCATTGTTCTCACGGAGCACGGTGTGCAGGGAAATTGGGAAAGAGTAGGAGTAGTTCTTGGCTGTCTCCCAGACTCTCCATCTCTTTTTTAGGCAGGAGTGGACTTGCCACCACATTCTGCTTCCCAGTTTAGTGGCTTCCAAGAAGACCTCCCAAACTGCTTCACAAACCAGAGTTTAATTGGCATTTCACATCCCTCCTGCACCACTGAACACAAAGAATATTTTATTGTATCTGGGATTTCTAGCTACCTTATTGGAGGAATGAACATCTCTTCTGTCTCCCCAAGCAATTTATTAAACAGAGGCACTCGAGCAGCACTTGGCAATAGCTAAATTACTCTTCTTCTCCTTGTACTGACTCTGTCACTTCTTTTCGTATTCAGAACCAGCATGAAGATGTCAAGAAGCAGCTGCTTGACCTGCAGCTGCAGCACAACAGCTTGAAACTGGAACATCGTAAGACACTGGAGACCCATAGCCAGAAATATGCCCAGCTGCAGCAGGAGAAGGACAGTGAAGTCACAAACTTGCAGGGTGAGTGTGATGGAGGGCTGAGAAGACACCAGGCAGAGAAAGGACTCAAGAACTGAGTTCAGGAGAGGACAGTGTTTCTTCTACAGGCCCCCAAATGGTCTGCAGATACTGTGGGAACACTTCTGTATGAGTGTGTGCAGTGCCTTAGCCCCTCTATACCTCAACTGGAGCACTGTCCTACCTCAGGGTGGTGGTGCAGGAACAAAGGCAGTGTTAAAACTGGCCAGGTGCCCCGAGATTCCATTGAGGGGAGATGAGAGATGCAGGGCAGGCTATCAAGCAGCTTCCCCATGCGAGGGAAGCCATTGGGGTTCACAGGTGGCGTTTTTGTGTAGGAATACACACCACAAAAGCCTCTGGCTGCTTGGGCTGGCAAATGCATTGACCAGGCTGCAATTGCATGGTCAGTGTAGGGTCATGGAGGAGAGGAGCTTCCTTTTTTTTTATAGCCCCATGGGAGACTGCGTGACCTTGGGTTTAGCCACAGTTTGAGTTCTCTGGGGTTCAGAGACCCCTGCGCTGTTATACTGCATGGGGCATCCCTGGCTTCTGTCAGCACCAGCACTTTGATGGTGTTATTTTAAAAGCCTAATTGACTTTTGCTGGCTGCTTACTCTTTCTGCAGCTGCTACTTATTTTATTTGTGTAGAATTTGTTTAGAGCCAGGTAAGATAACAAATTATTGTGCCAGATGCTGATTGTATTCAGACTGTGAAACAGTCCGTGTCCCAAGGAGGTCGCACTCAAAATGGATAAGGTAATCCAAAAGTAAAAGGCATGAGGCTAAGGTAGAGGTACATGCCTGTGGTTCCACAGTAGGCTGGGGCAGAAACAACAGGTTCATCCATCAAATAATGCTGCCTTACCCTATCCTTTCTCTGGTGGGTGAGTGTAACTAAGTTAGCAGAGATGCTTTCTGTGGCAGAGATAAAGCATTGTGACATTTAGGTATCCCATCTATTTCAATATACATTTTCCACTTCTCTGTACGCTTTTGACAATGGAAACCAGTTTCTATACTACTCGAATCCTGTAAATTCTAACATTTAAGCTTGGGAGCAAATTAAACATACTTTTTGTAATTAATGGTGTAGGTCTATAATGCATTTAATAGTGCAAGTACTGCAGAGAATGCCGATCCCTTTAATTTCCAAAGAGTAGTTTCTATTTAGTCTGCTGTTTAATTAGATTGTGGGGTTTTTAAGGTTCACATCTGTTCTTACTTAGATTAGGTCTGGGAGAGTGAAATCTGTTGATGTTTTTTTGGTTTTTTTTCTCTGATCAACAAAGCCCTAGTATCTGATGAGCACTCCTGGGTTAGAAGGGGGGAATTGAGCACAAGCAAGCGAAACCTAAATATTTGATTGTCTCTCTTCTTGAAATATGCAGCCCCCAATGAAGTAATAAAATGAATTCTGCCAGAGGAAGGAGAATAATGATTAGAAAAACACTTCAAAGAGGGAAGCTAGTCAGGAATGTCAGCTTAAGGTTGACATACTAATATTCTTTGTCCATCTTCCCAGGCTACTGTTCACTTGGTATCATCTCTCTCCTGTGCTTTAAGCTCAAAGCTGGCTAGTAAATCTTCCCTTAAGTATTGGTAACCATGTCATAGAAAAGAGCAAGACATTCTCATGAGAGGTGGCAAAGACAGAGAGCTAGTAGCATTTCTAATGCCTCATTTTCTCTCCTTATGTTCCACCAGTACTTTCTATACATAATGTGCCCTCAGGAGACATGTGTTGGAAGACGTGCCTCTGTCAGTGAGTATAATAGAGAACTAGAAGAGGTACCTGAGCAGTGGGCATTGCTCAGGGCTGTTAAAATGGAACTGAGGGATTTTTGCTAGATTCAATTGCAAAAATGAAAGCCTCACCCCAGGGATGCTGGGGGAACGCAGAAGCCCACTGGGAAGTATGAGGGATTGCTTTCACAGGTGGAGCTGGGTTTGGTAGCTCCTCTTGGTGGTCCTGGTTGCTTTACAGCCGTGGGGCAGCTCTCAGGTTGGTGACATAGCTATCTACATGCAGAAGATGCTGGGATCTGGGGACAGTGCAGCTGTGCCATGTGACTCAATGGTTGTGGTGCTGTTTGGGGTATCTGTGCCCTGTTCCTGAAAATCCCTGCTTTTGGAAGTGGTTTTTGAATGCTGGTTAATGGGTTCTGAGTATATGCTCAAATAGCTGAAGCTTCCTGGTCTTCTTAACTGGGGCCTGTTTAATCCTGTTTGCCTCCTCCCTCTACTCCAGGCCCTCTCCTTCAGCGTTATGAACTATTTTCTCCTCTGCTTTATAGGAACTGCAGTCTATTTATGCTGCATTTCACACCCCCAGCACAGCCTGTCCTCTGCTGTGCTCCCCCACGGTAATTCTGTACTCTCCACTTTTTTTCCTCATCCCACATTGGCACAGTCTGCTCTGAAGGCAGAGGGATAGTTTTGATCTTTGAGCTTCTGTTGGAGATAAGGACCTGTAGTTACGGCTGAAATTTTCTTCCCACTGACACCAGTGGTAAAACTCCTGATGAGGTCATTTGGACCAGGTTTTCGCGTCTGCCGTGCTGGTGGTAGAGGAAGGACATACAGTGGCATGAAGGTTTTGATTTCCAGTTTCTGAATATGCTTTGAAGACCTAGATGTCACTGAGGTATTGACTCAGTGAAACTGCAGGGTTCTTTTGGACATGTCTCTCCCGCACTTGAGATGCCTTTGGTTCTCTTGAAGGCCTGGGGGAATGTCTGTATTGTAGTCAGAGGTCTTAGCAGTAGCAGTCTTGTGCTAGCTGTCATCTAGCCTGGACTAGCTGCCTAAAAACATATCCCTTATTCACTGCTCCAGGCCAACACCCACAGCTGTGTGCGCTTTCAGCACTGTGTGTACACAAGGTAGCTCAGTTAAAGCTGTTGTAGCTGTAGTCCCATAGGACATAATTCCCTATTTCCTTCTGGCTGCAGGAAAGACAGAGCCTTCTTTTCTCCGTTTGATGTTAACCTTCACTGCAAGGCAAGAACACAGCACCCAACCTCAATGGCAAAATGTCCTGTCCCTGGGATGAATGTTATAAAAAAAAGATATACCACTGTAATCAGATTTCCTTCTGGCTGCAGGAAAGACAGAGCCTTCTTTTCTCCGTTTGATGTTAACCTTCACCGCAAGGCAAGAACACAGCACCCAACCTCAATGGCAAAATGTCCTGTCCCTGGGATGAATGTTATAAAAAAAGATATACCACTGTAATCAGAAATATCTGTAATCTTGAGCTGAAATCTTGCATGCAATTCAGCCTACAGCAAAGTGACCATCCTGTTATGGGAAAAATTCCCATCCTTGTCCTGGTGGGTGCAACTATGTTTGCAGAGAAATCCCAGTGCATGCAGTTCCAGTGGTATTTTAAGAGAGCGCTTCAGGATCCAAAATAAGGCTGACATTTTTTGACAGAGTCTTTCTTTTTATTGGAGGATACGCAGTTATATTCACGGCAGTGAAACATAAGTGCCTTGTGTGTCTTGTCGCTGAAGTACTTAGGAGTGTACAAAGAGCTTGAAAGGAGCCCAACCTGGGCGCTGCGAGGCACAAGCTTGCTACTTAACAGCATAGGAATAAATGTGCCTGAGGACCAAGCTGTCCTGTGATTGCTTTCTGTAAGTGGGTTGTGGGTTTTTTTGTTTGCACCATCCTTTCAAGAGGCAGCGTCTCTGTGCAGTAGGAGGGAACCTCCTTATTGGATCTGCTGTGGGTTCAGGAGACCTGACAGACCTCTCTTGTAGCTGTTTCTCAGCCTTCCAGTTACCACAGGTAGGGGCAGTGACCACTCCTCACTGCTCTCCCTGCTATTCAGCTGCATTGGGCAAGGGAAATGAAGAAACAAATATCTTGTTATGATAGCAAGTACAGCAAGAGCCTGACCCTGATAGCAACAGTTAGCAGGGACACTCGGGAGAGGAGGAAGTTCCTTGGATGGGCAGGACTCCTGAGTGCTGAAATGAACGATGGTTCAGGTTCGTCAGGGTGTTCGGCTAGTCCCTAGCTAGTGCTTCACTGTAATTCCTGGGCTTGGAGAGATCTATAAGGTCAAGAGGAATTTATGGTAAGGAAGAGAGATACTACACTTGCAAAAATAGTGTGCTCAAGCAAATTTCTTCTTCTCTTGCAGATACAGTCTTTAAACTTAGAGAAGAGAGCAAGCTTCTTCGGAAGGCCCACCAGGAAGTTCACTCTCAGCTCCTTAGTGCCCAGGTAATCAACAAGGGGGTGTTTGCGGCCACATGGGACAATCTTTCACTGAGGTCTGGGTGCACCTTCAAATACTCTCTAAATAATAAATCTAGTTATCAACTGTATTCCAGTGTGGTGAGTTGCCTAAAACAGTGCTGGTAGGTGCTGGTAGTATAGATGCATTCTGTACAAGTAAAATTCTCCAGCCTGGAATCTCTCCCAGTAGCTGAAAATACAGACATGCTACACAAGTCACTGTGGTTCAAGTGAGCATGAACCAGCATATTCCCAGCCCTGGAATGCCTCCTGTCACTTACCCGCATCTCAAATACTTCCACCTTAAATGATGATGAATTGCCTCTGTTTATGCCTATAAAATTAATTGCAGAGAGAAATAGCAATGTATAGGTGCCTTGCCGAGCTTGCCGAGACTACAAATAGACACACAACAATCCTGGGAAAAAGGTCCCCTTCTGCATCTCCCTGTGAAGCCTTAGTAGAGAGGGAGACCTATAAAAAGTTTGGAAAGAGCTGTGTAAAAACAAGTTAGTATTCAGTAATAAAAATGTTGGAGCGATGCTTTTGGAGGCCAGGGCAGATACGCAAGTGGTGTTGGCTTAAGACTAGAGAGGCAGAAAAGCATTTTTCTGCAGGGGAAAAAAACAAAAGTTTTGTTGATATTGTGGTGTGCTCATGCTATGGAGATGGTGTGAGCCTCCTCAGCACACTGGAAGTCCTGACCTCACAGAATTCTGCTCACCCAGCTGAAGCTCCCAGATGACCTGGGAGAAGGGAGAAAGCAGGGTATGCTGGGAGAAGTGGGAGGACTTAACATCTCTACAGTGTCTGTCTGAACCTCTTGTACTGAGCCAAGACACAAGCAGCTTTGTAAATATGCTTTAAAAGTCACGTCGCAGTCTGAATTAGTCTTTTCTGTTGTTAATTAACAGCCTTCTGTCAAGCACTCCCTTGGATTTTAGGATAAGCCCAGAAGCAAGGAGCTAGTTGTGGTTAGATGCTGTTGACAACTGATTCTTCCCCTGAACTGGATGCTGAACTTGAACTGGAGGGGGGGAGAGTGGGTTTTGACTTCTACAAGATTGCTCTTGAGTTCTGGCCTGCTCTGCCCTGCAAAATAGCAGGGACTAAGCGGCTCTAGGGCATTGCAAACTTCACAGACAACTGGTTGCTCCAGGCAGGAAGCCCAGGTTACTGACATGGCAGGCAGCTGTCATTTGATAGCTCTTTGGCTCATGTCAGATGTGGTTTGAGGGGTCTCGGGTAGACCGTCAGTGTATTTGACTTGCCTGCCTTCATAATCGTGACTTACCACTGAACTGCTTTTTAACCCTCCTCCTCCACATGGCTAAGGCAGACTGGTAGGATTCTCTGCAGTGATACTGCCTGCAGTGTACTTGTTGGAAACTAAACAAAGACATCTAGTCTCCGTAGGACTCAGTCCAGCCAGCCCATACCAGGAATTGAAACAGCATGTGATTACAAGCTTCTCCAGTGCCCCTGGCAAGTCTACATTCACACCTTCTGCTATCAGAATGAGTCGCAGCCTTCATTTTTAGGCCTCCTGACCAAACTCTCGAAGTAGCTGCCAGTGTCACTGCTCTGTAGCTTGTTCTCAAGCAACACTGAGGCCTGCTCAGCTCCCATCATACAGGCCCCTGCCATTGGCAACGTGGGTCAATATCAGTTGATCAAAGGTTCTCTGTTTGCCATTATGTATTTCTACTTTTGTCTTGCTGGGTCAATGCTGAGTGTATTTGCATCTGGCACACTGTGTAGGGCCAGTCCTGAATTACTCTTCAGCAGAGTACCCTTAAAATGCTATTTGACTAACTGTGCTGCATTAGAGAAAGCAATCGGCAGTTCAAGTGCGCAAACTAGTGCATACTCTGAACAGCATTAAAAAAAAACTTGGCTAGAGATGGCTGAGTCTACAAAGTCACGTGCTTGCAGACTGGAAAACATGGTGGCAGCTTTTGTGCTGCCAGTCTTAACTTTTGGCCCCTTCAGTGTTGTGACCAATGGGAAAAGTAGTTTGCAAGAAATAGCTCACTGTCGTTTCTTGCCAAAATTAAGAGCGAGCAAGAGTAAAAGGATTTGCCCTGGGTGTGGGAGACAGGGCTCCGCTCCCTGCTCTAAATGTACTAGACAGTTGTGTAACAACGTTGTGCTCCAACCATCTGTCTGACTGCTGTTCCTGGCTCTTATGGAAATGGCAGTGGTTGTTCCCAATGACTTCAGAAAATACTTTGGATCTTTTTGACAATGAGCCTAGTGTTAAATCTTAAAAGTGTTCAGTTTTCTGATCAGTCCTTTATAGTGTCTAATCTGTGTTTCATAACACAAAGGTGAATGAAATTGCATTTGCCTTCAGTGGGGCGAGATGCTATGTATTGGAGCAGACACCCACAAAGACTCCCAGCTGCTTTATCAGCACTGCAGCTCTTCATTGCAGTGTCAATTTGTGCTGAGTATCCTGTTGTTGACCTTGCTTCCTTCTGGCAGGTGAAAGTTCAGAGGAGTAATTTGCGTTCTAGGTGACATGTTCATTTTCCAAGGATTCAAACACGTTTCACAAGCCCTAGCCAGATTACTGAGCCTGCAGTAGCTGTCATATCAGTTGGTCTTCCAGGTAAAAATCAGGCACGGAGGCATCAAGTGATGTAAGCACAGCTTTCCTGTGAGCGGGGTACAAACAGCATGTGGGAGGCTGTGCGTTAAGGCTAGTACAAAGCTGCTTCCCCTCTGGGCTGACCACCTTAACAGGCTTTTGATGGGTACAAGTTTTGCTTTCATCTAGCTTGTTCTGACTGGAAGCAGTCTCCTACTAACTAGGGCTATATCCCATCAACTGTTCTTGGCTTCCTTTTCCTTTCCTCATTCCTTTTATGTTAGCTTTGCTGAGTTGTTTTGTTGGGTTTTGTTTTGTTGTTTTAATGTTAGTTTTAAGGTCAAATTTCAGGGGGAAGAACTGAAATCAACAGAGCCTGCTCAGGAATTAATTTCCTGCTAAACTTTCCTTGCCGCTTGGAAGCTTTCCTACTTTGTTCAGTCCCTAATTTGGTCCATTTCCAGGTACCCTGGCAAGCATATGAAAAGTTCTCTCCCCTCACTTTCCTATAAATAGCTGGGCTAAGAGTGCGGAAGCTTTTCCTGAGTAGCTTTTTCAAGCCCTACTTTTCAGGGTTGGAGATGGACGAAATAAGCTGCAGTAGAGAGAAAAGCGTTGCATTTGCTTAACAGTCCAGGAGAATCAATTTTCATTTGTCTTGCAAAGTAAATTGAATTGTCAAGTAGGATTACGCCAATTACTGTCAGCCCTGCTGAGATGAGCACATCTGTGGAGAACTGCCTCCGCAGGAAGAAAAAAAGCTGACCTTGAAGGTACATGTGTGTGAAGCACAGGAGGAGAGGGAGCCACACCTAACAAGACCCAGGATACAATTCTTGTGCAAAGGCAGGAGTTATGTGGATGGCTCATGCACTAAATAGCATTGGTCAAAGACTCGGTGTCATGGGTCAGCACTTCCAGGGTAAAAGCATGCAATAAAGTAAGATGCAAGACTGGCAAAGGGGGAATACAGAATATCCATGAAATCTGGAGGGAAAGCTGAAGACTAGCTTGGGCTTGTCATTAATGGTTGTGGATTATCTCCAGCCTTTCATATATATATCTTCTTTAGTAGTGTATCTGTGCTGAACAACTGGCCGTAAAAGAGTGGCTATTCTCAGCAAGGAGTTAACTCTGTTATTGTGTGAGGTTTCTCTGTGCCCTTCTCATCCTCTCAGGCCCAGATGGAAGAGTTCAGGCAGCTCAAGGAAGCTCTACAGAAGATGCCAAGCTTCAAAGCAGGAGGAGCTGGGAAGGGGCAGCAGCAGTTTCAGGTGCTGAAGGAGCAGCCCATGGCGCCAGCCAACAGCCAGTTGCAGCTCGTGAGGCAGAAGGTGTGGTACTCCCAGGAAACCCCAGGGAGGAGAGTTCTGCAGGGCTTCTGTGGGTTTTCAGCATGGGACTTTGAACTGGAGGGAACTGAGCTTGTTGCTCGAGTTTGCTCTTGTCCTTTCTTCCTTGCAGGCTTTTCCAGTCAATCAGGAGAATCGCCCTGTAGGAAACCCGCTGGCATCACAAGTCTCTGGGGTTCAGAAGCAGGCAGATGGCCCTCTGCTGCAGGGCCAGAACTCGTACAGTAACGATGGCCCAAGGCCACAGGCTAATGTGCTCTTCACCCATCCAGCCCCACCGCAAGATGCCAATTCACTGCCAGGTGCTATGCCAGCCTGGCCAGCAAGACGTGCGGATGGCCATGTGATCCGATTCACCCGGACCATGAACAGTCTGCCAAATGGGAACCCAGTAAGTTCTGCACACTTGGTGCTTGTTTTGTGTAGCCCTTGCTTTTGAAGCTCAAAACTATGATATTTGTAATGACATGCATATGTGCATTCCACTTCCCCGATGTGGAAACTGTCCTGGCCTCAGGTTTCAGACTCCTGAGTACTCTTAAGAGTTTGTGGTTTAGTGGCTGGGCTCAGATGAACGGCCTAGGGTTCTTGTTCTGGTTCCTGCCGGATCTGCAAAGGGTAAATCATAAAAGCAGCTCCCTTGCCTCCTGGGGTGATTGAGAGTGAGCTTATAGAAAGTAAAGCTCTTAAAAAATGACAATAATTGCAGTGTGGTTAGACTATAATTATAGTAAGTATTATAATGGCAACATGGGGGGTTTTTTTAGAGGTGGCTGTGTTGTTCCTCTTTTTTTGGAGATTCACCTACCCAAGACACAAGCTTGGGTCACATAGGATCCAAATTATTTCCTCTTGGCTGTGTGGAAGGAGAAGGACCTCTTTTACTGCACGCTGGCTGGACAGGACTGTAGATTTGTTCTGGAGCACTTCTGAATCTGTTGTTCTTTGATTTTCTGCCCCGTAAGCCTGCCCAAATGCAAGGGAGATCTGCAGGTATCTGATAAGATTAGGAGCTTGTGTATATCCTTGTGTATATTGAGTATGCATGTGTCTTCTCTGCAGGATCTAAAGATGGTGATGCGCATTCAGGTGAAAAGCAATGAGGAAAGCCAGGCTCCTGGATTGTCACTATCTGATCTGAAACAACCCTCTGCAGCAGAAAAACCTCAGATGCCAGACAACCACCACTCTACAGGGAGCAAACAGGTGCAAATGCAAAGGTTGGTGGAAAAAACCTCCCTTCTGCTCTCAGTGTTCAGGCTCAAAGGTACCATACAGGCTGCTCCCTGGTCTCTCTCTTCTTGTGTTTATTGTGGTTTCTACTTGAAAGATGGTTGAAGAAAGTGTTAGACAACAGTGGGACCAATAACTAATTCTTGTAACTGAATGTTGCTGCCAGGTCTCTATCTCAGCCGAAGCAGAAGACTAGTCATGTTGCAGGCAGTGTTGTGTGATTGAATGCACAGCCTGCTGTGGGTGCTGTGATGGCAAAAAAAACCAAAAAAATGAGAGGCTCTTATATTATTGGTGCATGCTCTGTAGGCTGCCTTTGTATTTGAACTGTTTGGTAAAGTGTTTTGTGTGGGGAGGAGGGAGAAAGAGGAGTTACTGCTGAGTGAGATCAGGTCAGCATGGATTTCCTACTAGCTAGAGGAGAGGGTGGGATGGGAGTCTGAACTGACTTCAAGAAATCTCCTCCCTTTCAGTGATGGTGACTTAAATATCCTGTTTTGTTTAGCAAACTGAAGAAATTCTGCATGATGGAAGCAACCCATCTGCAGCAGCAAGGGTAGCTAAGAATTCCTTCAGTTTCTATAAATAAGAGGCATTAAGTTGTATATTAGAGCTGCAACTTGCTCATTTTTTCCACTAATTAATCAATAATCTGCCAAGCTCTGCAGGAACAACCAGACATTGAAGATCTGAAAGCTTCTCATCTCCAAGGTTATATGGTAATCTAGAAGCAGCAGGCCACCAGCCCCAGTTAGGTACTAGAGTTTTTTCTGGTTTTGCTTCTAGGGCAAAGACAAATTCCCAAACTCTGTATTCTGTCTTCTGTGTTTTCTTTCCTCCCAGGGAATGGAGCTTGGGTTCCCGTTGCCAGTGCACTTCTGAGGTATGCTAGGGATTTTCCTTCACAGAGGCTGATTAGAACATGAAAAGTCAGACAGGTCCGAGTGATCCTGAAACTATGGGGTTTATCCAGAATGGGGTAAAAGAGTTTACAGCAATAGTTTATGCCAGAAATGAGGACACAGCCAGAATCCATCAGGCAGCCCAGGCTTTTGTCCTGTCTATAGGGAGAGGAGAGCTCGTGGGAGGGGAGTCCCTTGGAAAGGGCAGAGGTTCAGAGAACGGCATGAACCTACCTGTTCCATGCAGGTAACAGAATGGATAGTTCCTACAGTACGTTACTTGTATTGCTGTAGTACCTGGGAGCCTAGTCAGGGACCAGGATTCTGTTGTACTGGATGCTGTACAGGCACAGGAGAAACTGTTTACTGTCTCAGCAGCACTCACAGAAGACCGGTCTGTTTTGCAAAAGGAAGAAAATGTCTTTCTGAGGCTGCAATTCATCAAAGTCTGGCCATATTCCAAAAACTGACTCTGAAAATAGTGCTTCCTCATTTAACTTATTTATCCCCTGTGTGTGTCCAGGTCGTATCTGCTCAGTTTACTGGAGCAAACAAGATTTAATTTCTGTTTTATCTGTAGAGGTGACTTCTGGATTTCATTCTAAATTCAGCCTGATCCTACCCGTTCTTCTCTGCCATTTTTGTTTGTTCACTTAACCTGTAATCTTCCTAGGTCAGAGATTGTGCTTTGCATATTTCTTTAAAGGGCAACGTGCTCCCCGTACTGCATTGAGAGATGACATCTGCATGGACACACAGAGTAACAGCACAGAGGATATTCTGCCTTTTTACAGGGAGGGACTTGTGTGGGTGTAACTGAAGGTGAGGGTTGAAGTTGTGATGGCAGAATGGCCTTTCCTCAGCTATGTAGAGCCTAGAAAGGATACAGTCACTACTCTGTGAAGCAGAAAATGCAAATACTGGATTTGTTTGGCAAATGATTTCTGCAAGGACCGAGATCATGGTATGTTTGGTGTGCTTTTCTTTTCTGGATCTATCATCAAGAAATTACTGAGCAGCTGGAGGCTGTTATTTACACTGCATGAGATTTGTGATAAGGAGTGCATAAACCAACTTTCTCCGGAAGGTGTCGATGCCAAGAACAATATCAAACTGCAGTAGAGTACAAAAGAGGCTATGCATCCAATGCCAAGAACTGTTGCACTGGGTGGCTGAGACCAGCAGATTCCAGATGAGCTCTTGATGGCCAATTTGCATTTTGATGGTTTTATAAAGGGGAAATCTGAGCTGAAGGCTGGGTTATGGTTTTTCTTACTGAAAGTTTTGTGTGGTGGTAGTATCCTGGCTTTAAAAAGCTACTAAAGCTAAGGCCACTTGTCCTTTCTCAGCAGCTAAAAACTTAAATGTCTTAAGCAGAATTTAAATGTCAGCTGGCTCATGTAGCAGGACAGACTAGACCAAGGAGTAATCCTGCATGAAACTGGTGGTAGCTTATGCAGATTAAAAGTTTTTTTCAGACACTTTTGAGAGTCCCTATTATTGGGATTTCATCCCTTCCTTTACCCTTCTTGTTTCTGTCCCTGAGTAAGGATATTTGGGAAGAAAAATGTCTCCTTGTGAGACATCCCTGCCTTCTGGGCTTTTCAGAGCTTCACTCAAACTAATATGAAGATACTCCGTTTCTTCTCTGACCTCCAATTCATTTCCATGCAGTGGAATGGTGTTACGCTACGAAGCGCTCTGCTGCTGAGCCGCTGGTTGGGTATCCACGTGAGCTGTGCTACTGTTGCAGGCAGAGAAGCATTCATGAAAAATGTGTTGCATTTGGCATATACCTTGATAGCAAGCACTTGTCCCTCTGAGGCACTTCTGTTAAGAAGGAAGCAGACATAGATACTGCTGTAGACATCAGGAGAAGTGTATTTGAGGTGGAACTATTACAGAGGAAGGAATTCCTGACGATGGCTGCCTGAAAGTGGTTGCCTGAACTGTCACAAATAGAGCTGTGTATGAATAATTGATTTTTCAGGTCAGTAGATGGATGAAAACATTTGGGGGGGGGGTGGTAGGAAAAGCAGTAAATCATATTGGAACGTGGTTCCCTCACTGAATGAAGAAACGAAACGCTTTTTCCCATGTTCACCAAAAAAAAAAAAAAAAGCAATATGCGAATGTTTCCTTTCAGCTAGTTCTGTTTTCACTGTTTGGGTTTGTACAGGGGACAGATGCATGCTGTGGAAGAGTTTTATAAACAGATGCTGGTTAAAGTACCCATCCCAGTTGCAAAGCTTCGTAAAGAGCTTGTAGCTTTAAAAAAAATTATCAGACAACGGAAACTGTCAATTTTGTATTGCAGCTTTCCTGTTTATTTTGAAAGGTTTTTTCTCCTTATAGGCCAAAATTCTACAGTTTTACTTTAGTAGCATCTTCATTTTAAATTATGTTGGAACAATAAAGAGGACTTATGGTTTTGATATTTTTTCAAAAACTTAGATTTGTGTATTTGTGTATGTGTGAGGCATGAGTAAGTATCTATTTAGAATTGGAGTTTATTGCTATGTGGATATGTTATTGTATCATATGAATACTATTAAGTAGTTATACAATAAATTGTGTTTATAAAGCATAACTTATTTTGTACTTATGTGGCATATTAAATGTTATGTCTCAAGCAGATATCACTGTAACTAATGCAATCTGTTAGTTTTGCCAAAAAGTTAAATTAGGACAAACTTCTGCGTGTGTTGGAGGTTTTTTTTCCTTTGTTTGCCATTATGAAATAGCACTATGAAATATCTCTTGATATACTGAGGCAGGGGGGTTCTGTTTTGTTCCATACCCTTGTTGCAGCTGGAAAGACATAGTTAACAAAGTGAATGCCCAGATGGATGAAGAACAAGCGCGCAGTTACCCAAAGAGCCTTCATTCTGATCCCAAGCCTGGGCAAGAGATGCAGAAAGGCAGCCCACAGCCACCCAATCAGAAGAGAGGGGAAGAGCATCAAACAGCTGATGAGGAAGGCGAGAAGGAAAGGACAGATGATGAGGAACTCGAAATGGGTATGGTTTCCCTAATCCTATGCCGTACGGTACTAATTTATTGCTAATCAAGGTGGGGAGCAAGAAAAGCTTTCTGCTTGTGTTAGAGGAAAACCTTACAACTCTTGAAGAATTCTTGTGCTTTTATTGTCCTTGGTCAAATGAAAAGCCGGGACAGTTTTCCATTTTTGTTCCCTGTTGTCCTGCATCCTCACACATTTCCAAGGTAGTGAACTCAAAATCTGTGTAAGTCAAGTCAATTCTTTCTTTCTTTCCTATGGGAGTGATGGGGAAAATGTCACTGTTTTTTGCAAGACTTGCTCTCAGTCTCCCAATTAAAATAAATTAAAATTGATTTAATTTTTTTAGAAGTGGGTTTTCTAACTTAGGGCAGAATATTTCCCAACTGTCCTTAAGGGGCTAAAAGCAAATAAATTCAAGGGCAGCTAGTTGTATTTGTCAGTCAGCCAACAGAGCACCTACAGCTATTTTAAAGTCTAGTAAGTAACTGCATTTGGGCAATTAAAGGCCAGCTCTTAGAACAGCGTGTTAGAATTCCTCAGTCTTCTGATCCGGATCTGTTCAGACTCCTGTGTATTGACTCACTCGGCTAAAAACAGGTTGGGAGAAACATTTGACTTGGTGTAAAGTTCATCATCACACTATGAAACCAACTAATGAATAAGCCATTCGATTATGCATGTGAGGGCAGAATCTTTTCTTTGCCTCATTTTCCAGGTGAGGTTTATCAATTGGCCTGTAATGGTAGTCACATGTGAGTGGCAAAATGAGGGAACAGTTAAATAACTATTTGTGTTGTGTGAAACAACAGAAAACAGCTGTAAAATGACTAGACCTTTCAGAAAATTACAGTGGGTGAGCGGGGGCTTGGAGCACTTCCATAGGTCCAGTAACAAAGGGAAGGTTGACTTAATTGCAGCTGTATGTCTACAAGCGTAAGAGGGAAGCTACAAACTTCCTTTGGAAGCAAATAAGGACGACATCAAAAATGTATTACAGTAAGCCAGTGGAGAGCTAAAATGGGTTTTTGAGCAGAGGTGTCCAGTCTGAGAATCTGTGCAGAGATGCTCTGCTGTGCTCAAGGGACCAAGATACACAGTGTGAACATTTTGTAAACAGATTTCTTTGCTGTAGACAGACTCCACCATCAATTTCTCTTGCACACATGGAAATAACCTGTAAGATCTGGAAGCTAGCTAGTTACCTTTGTCAAAAAGAGACACTGAAATGTAGATATGACTAATGCTAATTCTGTATGTTGCCAGACTGAGGTAGAATGACTAAGTGGCTTTTCATGTAGCTAATTTTTTGCTGCGGTCTTGAATGCAGTAAGGCAGGGAAGCTGGGAGCTGAGACTCCTGTGAGGATCTCATTTGAAATGCTGACTTGCATCCTATTAAACATTATAAAGATGGTATCAGCCTGGTTTCTTGACAGTAGATTTTGGCTCTGGATTTGGAACAGAGGAGGGATGTCATGGGGCAGAGATGAAGGTCAGTGGTTCTGAATCTTGGATCAAAAGGCTGAAATCACCCAAGATGGGTGATTTCCTCCCAGGCTATTGGCTCAGTTCACTCTGTGCAGGTGAAGTCCTCCCTTCCAGAACAGCAACAGTTAGTTAACAGCTAATGTGCATACAGATGCCCGTTTGAAGAGGAGGTTTGGTATTCCTGTGCTTTCCCACAGCTATGTTTAGCTGCTATTTCATGTTTTGCTGACCTGATTTTCAGCAATTCCCCTTAGAGGAACTGAACTAATTGGTTCACATCAAAGTGAATTCTACCCTGAAAAGAAAAGCCCTTGTGGCAGGTATAAGGGAACATGAGGACCAATAGCCCTTGACCTCTGTGTCCTAATTGGAATTAACAACCAAAGTAATGACTGGACTGCCCTGGCCATGCTGCTGTCCAGTTGGGAACACTACTGTCTCACAGGCTCCTTTAATGTTTTGGGAAGAAGCGCTCAGCCCTTGGTGATGGCAGACAGAGTGGTGAGTGCCAGAGCTGGGACATGTCAGAGCCATATCCAATTCAGGGTGAGGATTAGGCCTTTACTTAGTTGAAAGCAAAGGCTATATTTTTAAAAGGCTGTATTTTTCTCTCATTAGTACTCTCCTGCCCTGAATGTCCCCCTACCTGACACAGGAAGCCTGCCTTTTGTTCTGATGTCATCTTGTCAGCAGCTGTGTGCCAGCGAAGGGGAAGGTGGCACTGACATACTGACCTGCCGGGGGTCTAGTTCGGCTCCCAGCGATGGTCTAACTGGCTGCATGGCTGGATTGCTGCTATAGATACTGCCCAGACTTAGCAGTGGCATGAGAGAAAGGTGCAACTTAATATAGATTAGGGGCTGAATTCAGAGCTGTTTTTTGTCTTTGTATCATATGTGCTATTCAGTAAGTTAGGAGCATGCTTCGACACATGCTTATGCCCCAGCCTAGGGGACAAGGAAGCAGTTTTGGCAGCCGTAGGAGCATAGTGCTGCTTTGCCCTGAACTCTTGAATAGAGCATTGTCTGCCTCAACCTGCAGGCAGGTCGAGACAAATCCCTACTTGGCATAGAGTTAATACAGCTGCTCCCCAACAGTGGGAATCTTAACTGGTGACACTGACTTTTGAGCGAGTACACTGATAACTGTCCCTTTTCCTTGCAGATGCAGGAGTGATTGAGAGAGAGGAGAACTTGCGTTCTCAGAAAGAGACTGTTGTCCAGGAACCAATGGTAAGTAATGCTGTCGTGCTGTCATCTGGATGCAACCCTAGCTGTGAATAAGAATCCAGCTGTCCCACTTAAGTCGATGCTTTCCCAGAATTTTCTATAACATGCAACTCCAAACTCCTTGGTTCTGAAGGGATTCAGAGGGATAACGAAGACTGGGGTTTTTGTTTTTAGAACCGCTAACATGCTTGAAGAGAGGTGCGACTGAAGTGCTACAAGCCAGCACTTCCTGCTTGCTGGTGAAGGCAGGCTCACCTTGGCCTCTGTCTCCCAAGTAGATATCCTGCCTGGTATTCACAAGAGGCTTTTCTTGTCCAGATGCCAGATGATGCTGCAGATCCTGCCCAGGATCCCAATAACCAAGGTGAGGATGAGTTTGAGGAAGCTGAGCTGGAGAGACCTGACTTTGAAGAGAAGGTGGGAGGTTTGGAGAAGTTCAAGGAGCCCAGCATGAAAGAAGAGTCTAAGGAGAAGCCACTGAAGGTGACTAACATGAGGGCAACCAGCAGGGGCCAGGGAGAGATCCCCAGCTATGAATGGGGGGAGGCAGAGAGCTTAAGGACTCAAAGGAAAACATCATGTTCCTGGATGGATCCATAATCCCACTGCAGGGATATGGCAGGCAGAAGAAACCTCTTTCTGAGAATCAGTGGGTTGGTCAGTACCAGAACATGTTCTGGCCCTGTCCTCTCTGCTTGTTGAAGCCAACAAGCAAGCATTTGCAGCACCTACGTGGCTGGAGAGACGTTGAATAGGAGATGGGTCACTCCACAGCTATTACTGCAGAGGTGCTGTATCTTTTCAAGCACTTGAGAGACCAAAACCAGACAACAATACAGGCCTATGCTTGGGGTCTGGTCAGAGCAGCCATTGCTGTTCCTGGGATGGGTATGCAGCAGGCTCTTGGCAGCAGTGACAACACGTGAGAACTCTGCCTCCTTGTTTGCCTGCTTGCAGATGGAATCCATTTATTTTGCAAAGTGCTTCTTGCTGTCTGAAGCCAGACTCTGCATCAGGGAAATGTTAGCTTGTTTTGACAAGCAGCTGAGTGTTGCTTGTTTTAAAAAGAAGTGTTTTATCTGTCAGGCTCTAAAATCATGATTGACAGTGAGGTTTAAAGTAAAAAAAAAGAGAAATCCAGGCCAATGAAATCAAACAAGAAAGAGATGCTGGCACCAACAGAGCAACACCTCCTTAAGATTAGTGAAAATGTGGAAGGAGTTAGTGACGTAAGTACCTGACTTTCTGATAGGGCTGTGCTGTGCTCCCTAAAGCTCTACCCTAAATAACTTGTAGATTCCCTGCAGTCCTGGGACTTGATGCAACAGCAGCATGTGCAAGGGCCCTGGCCCTGGGACCTTCCTGCTGCAGGAGAGGCCTCTCTCTGCACAGCGGAAGGAGCTGGGCAGTTGCTGCCGGCAGGTGGGAAGAGAGACTGGGTGGAGAAAGTACAAATGGAGTTGGGGTTGCCTCATTGTCTCTCTGCTGCCCCCTGATTCCTGATCTGTAGCCCAGTCTTCCAGACCTGGGGCTCTAATCCAAGAGAGCTGTATCCCTGGCAGGGAATGGAAGTAGGTTGGGGCACTGTCAACAATGTCTGACTTTCTGTATTTTTCAGGATGCTGACAGACCTGCCAAGCCCAGGGAAGACCCAATGGATGACTATCAAGAAGATCAGGAGCAAGAAATTGTACGACACCAAGGTTCTTCCTCTTTCCCTCTCTGGTGTGATTGTTACCTTGATATGTTGGTAGCTGGGAGCTGAGTATGGCTCAGCTTTTAGGAAACCAGATGTGAGCACTGACTTCAGTTTTGTCTCTGCCTGTTCGGTGAGGTGGGTCTCCAGAACAAACCTGGAGCCCGCTTACCTCTGCTCCCTTTTCTTTTTCGGGTGTTCAGAGTACCCTTTACACTCTGTCTCCCCTCCTCATTTCTTTCTGCATCAATCTGCAGCAGTTGAGCTGTGAGATGCTTACCAAACAGCAGCTGGGGTGAATTACAAGCTGTGCCGGTGCAGCTAGGCAAGATCAACATGTGTTTCTCCAAGCATCACCCTGGGTTTATTCCTGTGGTGAGAAATTCACTGGGAGCCCTGTAGTCTGCTGGTGCACAGGTCCTACTGGGTCTAGCCTGTGTCTGTGGAAGAGCTGGGGAGAACTACACCTGTGCTTTGAGAAGGGTCATTGGGTTACAGCCAGCAAGTCGAGTAAAAGTATGGGTGGCAGAAGAATGTGACGTCCCACTCCTGAGGCAAATGTGGGAGGTGGTGTGTTGGTTGGGCCACAGTTGCCGGGAAGCAACTGCTCCTCTGTTTGGCTGAAGACATTATTACTGCTACACAGCAGCATTACTGCTGTGTCTCAGAGCCCCAGGACTACTGTAGTCAGTGACAAGTTGGCATTCCTCTAGGAGAAAGGTTGGAGGCCACCAAAGATTGAGAGCATGAGTACTAGAGAGGATCACCCTGGTGCCTTCTGGCTCACGTAGATAGAAATGAAGGATCCTCTTCCAGTCTTGTTCATCCTCTCCTTGTCCTTTGTGAGTGGCTGCTTCTGGCTTTTTCTGCAGTTTCAACATGATTGCTGAGGAATTGAGGGTTTGGGCTGCCTGCTGGGAATGAAGGGGGTGGGGAAATAAGGGGTGGGCAGAGAGCAAAGTTGATATCAGGAGCTGTCCTTGCTCTGTGTGTAGAACCTGGCTTGTACATGGATAGTTGGACCTAAAAGTGCCAACAGAAGCTGTGCTGGATGCTGCACATCATGGGTGGGATTTGTTACACAGTTTTAAATGTGGTGGATGTAGGGTATCTTCTTCTACTTGTGTAGCAGTGGCAACAGACTGAGCTCTTAAAATTGCATTGTAATGCCAGGATATTAAATGCGCTTAAAATGAACAGGCTGATCATGGCAACACAGGCTTCTTGGCTAAGTGGCTTGCCAATGACACCTAAAGGTCCCTGGCAGAGATGGATTCTTCCCTATTTTCCTGAGTTTCCCAAGCTGGGCTGGTATGGTAGAACAGCTATACTGAGAAGCTGCATGGTGCACTGCTAGTTAGGGTCTCCTTTTCCAGGCCTTGCTGATTTTTCCTTCCTGGCTGTTCCCTCTGCACCCAGGAGGATCACGGAGGTGAGGTGGATGACAATGATGACCTGGAACTTGTCCAAGACCGGAAGAACCATGCAGGCATACAGGGAGCTGATGGCAAGAAGGATGACTACTACTGAAAGATGCTGAAGGAAAATGGAATACGCTAGGAATTGAGGGGAGGGGAACTCCTCTTGGGAACTGGCTCCTGTATTAAACACTGCCCAGAACAGACAAAGGCAGGAGGAGATAACTGTCTTTGCAGGCACTGAGCAGGGTGCTTGCAGATGTGCATTACATCTACGTGTGTGGGGCCATTGCTGCCTCTCCGGTCAACAGCATGGAAGTGCTCTCAGACTGTAGGAATGATTTTATCCTGCTGCTTCTCTTGGAAGCACTTTTTGATTTGTGTTCTTCACTCTCTTGTTTTCCCTATCCCCTCCCAAGCTGGAGAGTTTTTCTTTTTTTTTTTTTTTTTTTTTTAAAACCCCTGGGCAGCAGAGGGGTGCCTGAACTGGTCCCTGGACTTACTCAACTGATTGCTAATACAAAGGAATCTGTCTTCATAAAATATTTTGCTCAGTAGTGTTTCTTTAAAACATCCTTTACTCCCATGAGAGTAAGGTGGAGAGGAAGTTAGCCTGCTTTTTGTCTGGAGTAATGCAAGGGTGATAGCTCACCATGAGCACCAACAGAAATGACCACATGCCAGCAATGTATGTGTGTGCGTATGTGCATGTATGCATATGAACGACTGGATCCTCCTCCTGGTGCAGAGACCCCTCACAGTGACTCAGAGCAGAACCCTGTAGAGTTCTCCTTTCCTTGTCTTTGAGCTGTGACTGTCCTGCTGGGCTTGGAGCCTCCCCATCTAATGCTGTGCATCTTGTCTTGACATTGCTGCTGCACCCTGGGTTCCTGGAGATGTGGGCTGGCCTGAGCTAAGACAGGCTCTTCTGGGATGGTGGCAGGTACTGCCACACAAAGAAACAACTGCAGCCCTGCAGTAATCTCTGCAGGTCACCAGCTGCAGTGAATGAAGCACTCCATGGCACAGCTACCAGTCCCTCTGATGGGATATTCTTTTTACTTTGTGTAGCGTTTTGCTGGTGTGGATGCTCTCAGTGGGACATGAACAGAGTCTGGGAAGGGCCAAACCATCCACTGCTTAAAGTTTTCAAATGCAAGCAGCAGGATGGGAGCAGACATCCGTTTCTGTGATGCGTGTATTTGCTCAAACCTTACTATGATTCATGATGCAGCTGCAGTATCCCAGCAGAGCTGTCCCTGCTCTGCCCTCCTCAGGCTATCGGCAGAATGTATCGGAGCATATCCCAGCCTGCATCTGCCTCTCAGATCTATAACCTCCTCCCTCCCTATCTTCCTGACATACACCCGGGTTTTGGCACCTCCCTAGGTGCCCTAGGTTGTTCAGGATTCCCAAACAAGCATGAAGGGCTTGCTAAGGATGAAATTTGGTGCATGGGAGGGGAAAAAAAAGTAAGAAAGAGTATTGATGATGGTAGATATGAAGGAATACTTGGAGCCCGACTAATGCAATTCCATCCTGTTCAGCTTCTTTCCAGTCTCCCAACATTTGACAGGAAGCTAAGATAAATTTTGCTCCTTCTAGACAGGTCTAGTTTTTAATCAGCAAGTTGGGTATTTCTAGCATTCTGTTGATTCAGTAGATTGAAATCTGTGGTGCTTTACTTAGTCTCCGAAACGTATCTTGCCTGACCTCAGATAGAAAGAAGGAATGAATTAGCTGGAGTCCCTGGAATTTAAAATGGAGGCAGCTGAAAGCAGAATGGGCTTCATCATGGTATCTCAAAGCCTGGGACCTGGTTTACTCATATGAACAGGGCAGAGCTGTCACGTCTCCTACCTTGTGCAAAACCCATGTGTCTGAGCTGTCTCCCACTTCCTCATCACCATGTCAGAAGTCCTGGGCTCTGGGACCTCACTCATCAGATGCAGCTTGTGGTTGAATGTCGTGACCTGATAAAAGATCAGAGGAGAGATCTTTGTTCCCTATTTGCATTAGTTAAGCTTTTTTTAATCCCTTGTGTTGGGGCATATTTTGTAAGCACTTTTAGACACTTAGAAAAACAATATCTCCCAATAAGCTTTGTCTTTTTCATTCAGACAGTATTGATTTTTTTTTTTCTTCCCCTGATTCTAATGGAGCTTGAAATTAACATCATAGGACTTTCTGGTTCTTTGTTTCTATTCTGCTTGTGTTTCCTACCAGCCCAATCGGCTGTGCAAGTCAAACTCTGGGGTAGATTGGAGTAGTTAATGTGGTTGGCTCTCTGCTTGCTTTGTGTGGAAGCAACAAGAACTCTGCTTTTCCAGATGCTGTCCTTTCTAGAGCTACAGCATCAGGTCAGCTGGATGGTACTGCTGGTTATTATGGAGTGCAGTAGAATCATGTTGTTAAGACCTCAACGACCTGATCTGCTGCTTGCTGACACTGGGGAGGATGTACTTGTGCACTGAGACCATGAAAAGCCTCATTGCAACAGTTTTGAACTGTGTGTTCCAAAACCATGTGAGAACACAGAACTCTGCACAGGTGAATACTGATACTAGGTTTTGGGAAGACATGAGTTGAGAGAGCTCCTGGCTGCAGAGTTCTATCTGCAGCCATGCCTGGGCACCTTATCTCAGCTAAGTTAAAGTCAAAGGCAGAGCACCCCAGCCACAGTCACTGTAGAGCTGTTGTCAGCAGCAGTTCGGCTGCAACCCACCACTTAAGATGAGAAGAGCTTTCTCAGGCCTGGAAAGGAGCATTCAATCTGCAGAGCATTCTCTGTATACTGCTTTTCTTTTTCTCCCAGCTTTCTCCTGGATCTGGGAGTGGTCCAGCTCCTATTTAAATTAAGCTATTTCATTTGAGAGCTTCAGCAAAACCCCAATTTATAAATAGTTTTCTGATCTTTCCATTTTGCATCACTCCCTAGAACAGCCTGCTTTAAGTGTAGAGGTATCCAGGCCTCAGTGTGCACACAGATCTCCAGAGAAGACAAATGCTGTTCTAGGGGCTCTATACTCATCATACTACTTGGTATCTTTGTGGGCAGAATAAGCAAAGGTGCTAGAGGTAGAACAGCAGCCAGGGGCTGTTCCAGGGAGTCTAGGAAAAGGTCTATTAGCCAAGTGCCATAGCTGCTCATGTAACCCACTAAGGAGCTCACTGCAAAACTGTAAAGGGGTGTAAGATATCCAGAATGACTTGAAATGATTAATGCTGTGTTAGTGCTTTATATTACCAACCTTGCTGTATGATGCAATACTTCTCAGCCTCCACTGTCTGCTATAAATAGCACATTCAGAATAGATCAGCTGGAGTTGCAGTTACCGGTTCAGAAGCATTCTGATCAAAAATGCCTCCAGTTCTCAGCTGGGCTGGTAAGATGTCATTGATTCACAGTTCAAGGCAGGATCAATGACCAACACAGCCTGTGGCATGAGCTTCAAACCTGCGTGCCCAAGCTGCCCCAGTGAGATATATAGTACAGTTATGTTTGCTGAATTTCATTCACTCCTCTTCCATGCTTCTCTTAGCCTGTGACTGTCAAGAGTACGTAGGTTCAGACCTTATTGGAAGTGAATCAAGTGCTGGAAATAGAACCCCAGTGGGGGTGAGACTGCATGCTGATTCAGAGAGGCTGCAGGAGCTATCTAAATTAGGAGGCAAATTCTCTGCTTTTGCATGTCTAGGATGAGTAATCCTCAAAGTTATGACTTGGAGGGAACTGTAGCAACTCAGCCCTGAATGTAAAGCTCACTGCTAGGGGAATGCTTTAGCACCATATGTTGCGTGCTGCCCTTAGCTGAGAGCTAAGCATCCCTGCTCTAGGGATTGTCTGCCCTGGCTGTATCTGCGACTAAAATTAGCACAGTGTTGCAGAAATTGTTAGCTGTGGGTGGTTAGTGCTTCCTTGTCTGGCCTGTAGCAAGTTGCCCCCATTTTGATACTAGTTCACTGCTTCCCCTAACAGGAGATGAAACAGGAGACAATAAACCCAGTGGAGGAGAACTAGAAAAGCAGAAAACCTGTCATGTTGGGTCCGTCTGAAGGCCTGTAAAGCAATATGGGATGTTACTGATTTTGATATGCTGCCTGGGGGTTCACTGCTTAACGCAAGTAATAGTGTTTGTCCAGGCTGAGTTTTATTGCAGACTGGGGCACAGAAGAAGGTCTTGGGAAACAGCTGGATTACTAAGAAAGCAAACAATGAGACAAAGTATTCATATGAAGCCAGTCCTGGCAGACTGACCAAGCCAAAGCATGTGTTTTTCCTTGTCTCTTGCATAAGTAATTGTCTTTGCTTAGAGACGTAGTGCAAGGCCAAAGGACGCAGTGCAGGATAAGGTGTAGTTAACCTGTAGTGTTGTTATAAATTTTTTGATGGGTTGCTCTTTATTTTCCTTTGGACTCCAGCAAGATGATGTAGATTAGATTTCTGTAAACAAATATATTTCCAGGGTTCCCATGATATCAAAGTATTAAGTGGTTTGGCCACATCTTTAGCCAGATGATGAGAATTAATAGTACATTCTGTCCCTTTACAAATAGAGGCATGGATGAGGAAAACATGCCTATCGATTAGTTAAATGAAATCTCTGTTTAATGAAGCCTATTTCTCTGTAAACCACTTCTTACTTGGAAACCTGTTTAGGATTATTAGGCTCATTCATTTACATGGCATTTTTTAGAGTTTAAAATGTGACAATCTAATAGGAGTGTAATGAGATGTTTTCTCTAAGACATCTGAAGTAGTTGGAGGAGAAAATGCCCTAAACCCTTGCATACTGTAGGTGTGAACTGTCTGCATATCCCCAAACCAAGAATGTCCTCTCATTTCTGATTATATATATATGACTTGCTTAAGAGTAACAGTTGTTTCTAAGGATGACTATTGTTCATATTCTATATAGTTTGAGTGAGACTGGCTGCTGTAAAACTTAGGGATTAAATATGACTCTATCCTAGACTGAGGAGTAGAGGCCTGCCAGGGAATGAACATCCTTCAGTGCTCATTCCTTCTTTGCACCTTTCAATAACGTATGTCTCTTCACCTCAACCCACATCTCTCTCAGTGCCATTTTACACATGACACCTCTGGAGTGAAGCCTGCCAATTTTGCTGGACTCTGTGCTGCTTTAGTGTTAGAGACTATCAATATGCATAGAAAAGATGAGGTAGGCGTAAGTATCACTGACAGGGGTTGGGGCGTTCTGTATCCTTACATTCATGTGCCTGAAGAAAATCTGGAAATCAAAGGAGTATGTGTTTATCCAGATGTCTTGTTATAAAGGTGACTGTGGGTCTCCAGTGCAAGGGTACGCCTATAAGCCAAAAGGTCTGAGGATGACAGTGATGGCACAAGGATATACTCAACAGCTCTCATGATCGTTTAGGTCCTTTCACTGTTCTGTTCAACAGCAAACCTGTTCCAGCCTATAATCACAGAACCAGTTACTCTGATCGTAATACGTAAATAGCTAAATGGAAGTCAGTGTGCAGGTATACTACTGCCTTGCATGAGTCAGAGGTTCAGGACTCGAACCCAAAGGGGAGAATATGATTATCTATTCCAATTTCTGGTAATTTTGGTAGTCATTCTGGGAAAGACGTTTGAGGAGGCTTCCACAGCTTTCCATGAAATGAAGCATCTCTGGTTAGCTTGTTTTTCCCTCTTCTACAACTTCAAATGCAAGTATGGAATTAAGTCCAGAGCTAAGTAATGCGGCACATGCAATCAGGTGTCTTCACTGCTGTGCCAACCATTTTCCTTTCCTGTACCAAATGCCAGACCCTTCTGTTGGATCTCTCAACAGAAGAACTCAGCGTGCGTTGCAAATCATAAGCAACATCAGAGGCTGGTGCCAGATCTCTTCCCTGATTACTGAAACAGTGACAGCTCTGGAGTGCAATCTGCTCTTAATAGTAGTTAGAACTGCACAAAGTTTAAGGGGTAAAATTTGCATAGTTTGGCTCCAACCATCTCCTGAACACCCACACGTTTCTCAGGAAGGGCTGTCAGATCGTCAGTTTTGCATCCTAGCTGGAACTTCCACAGGTAAGTTTGCCTCAGCCACCAAGAAGTGCCTTCAGCAGCACAGCCCCTCCTATTGTTCTGTAATAACCAAGTGTTTTCTGAGGAGAGCAGCCATGACTACAACTTTAGCATCTTTTTCTATGCTGATCCAGTTTTTTTCATTGATTCCTATTGATACCTCTTGGTGTCAAAAGAGATTTCTAGCAACTTTCTATAGGCTAGCAGACACACACACACACACACCCCCCCCCATTAAATTCGGTTAAAAACTAGATGTGGAAATAACTGATAATACTTGGTATTGTTAAATTATGTTTAAAGATTTCCTTAGGAAACCATATACTTTAAAAAGGCAAGTCTTTCAGACAGGAAAAGGTGTCCTGATATGAGACCATCTGGTCATGTTGATGTTCAATGCATCTAGAAAACAAAACTATTTAAACAAGTTCCACGTTGCTGCAAATTACACTTTGTATATATTCAGGTAACACCGTCGATGAAGTCCAAGGTGTCTGATTTGAGTTTGTTTTTTGTTTAGGCTATGAAATAAAAATAGGCTTCAGAATCTTATTTTTGTTATATTTTAAACTTACATAAGCCAATAAACACTTTTAAAGAAAACTTACATAGTAATCCGTAGATCTTGTATTTCCAAATAGGTAACACAGCGGGGAAAAAAACTACACCAATGTGTTTAGGCACATTTCTGGGGGTTTTAACCATGTAACGTGATAATTGTTCTACTTTACAAGTTAAATACAGACAAATGCTTATGTTCTGCTGTAAAAACTGGAACAGGATACTAAGTACAACCTGATCAAAACACAAACAAAAAAAACCCCACAATTTTTTGTGTGGAATGAAATCTGCAACTGAGAAATGACAGGATTTAAAGCAGCTTTTACCAATTTAACTGTTCAAAGAATCTTCAAACATTGCTTAAGTATGTACTTTTATGATTGTTTCATTACAGATCTTTTGTTTCCAGATTTAGACAAGTCTGTACTTTAGTGTAAATCTTTCAAGGTCGTTCAGAAAGCATTATGGTGTAATGCCAGGATGGAGCACTGCTCTGTCTCCTTCAGCCCTCGTCTGTGCTGCAAAATAAACAGCTGGCTCTAGATCAAATGGATGGATTGTGGGTTGGTCCTGCTGCAGAGAGGGAAAAACGGCTTTTGTTAGAAGACCGGAGTAAGAGGAGTATCTTTTTCCTTTGGTCTCACAGACTAGTGTGCGCTGAAGACCCACAGCTTTATCACTGCTATCAGCTGACCTCCTGGGGGACTCGTCTTTCTCCTTCTATTATATCCTTGCCAAGTTTCTCAGAATTTCCAGTCCTAAGGGGTTAAAGCAGCCTAGGTCTGCAGACATAACCATTAAAAAAATCCACGTAACACCACCCCCACCCCCCCCATTTCTTTGAACAAGG